TCAGTATTTCAAAATGCCCTGAGTAAATCACCTATTTTCAAATAACAAGCCCGCAATTGATATAATACTAAATAATAAAATACTAAAGGTATTTTACCTTTTTTATTAGTATTATATCAACTGCAGGTTTGTTATAGTAACACATCTCTCCTGCTCACGTTATTCTTTATTTTTAAACAGTTTTAATGAGTATAGTAACAGTTTTAACCTCGTATTGACCAGCGCTGATGCTATATAGTCTCTCTGAGGTAATGCATCAGTTACTGCTACATCTACGTACAGAAATTCCAAGTTAATAAGAATTTGTTTAATGAAATGTCTGGTAGCAGTTTACAATCATAAAGCATAATTTTAGTGTTAAACATACTCTGTTGTTGCTGATGGGTGCCATCAAGGCGATTTTCGACTCACAGTGATGACCCCAGATGACAGAGTAGGACTGCCTCATTGGGCTTTCTAGGCTGTAATCTTTATGGGAGCAGATTGCCAGGTCTTTCTCTCTCAGAGCCACTGGGTAGGTTAGAACCATCAACCTTTCAGTTAACAGCCAAGCACTCAACCATTGTACTACCAGGGTTTCTGAAATATACTCTATGCATTCTGTTTCTAAGAAAATAGATAACCGAAAATGATATAACTCAAATATGCTACTATCCCATGACCACGCCATTTAATAGATTTGGTCTTCTTTTGTGAACAAGAAAAATTTAAAGTATTTTTTACCTATATTTTATCTTTGTATGAGACGGTAGATCTCTGCTTGAATACTGCTTTGAGAGCTGGCTCAAATCACCTTCTCCTTTTCCTCTTCCACCTCTAGCAGGTTCAAAAGTTGGCCTGGCTGCTGTTGTCATCTTATATGCTTTGAAGAAAAATGGTATTCAGTTATTTCCAATCTGATAAACTGTCACTTTATAAAGCATTAGTCAATACTCATCCTTGTGAAATAACTTCCCACACTCATTCCCCAGTAAGTTACTTACTTAAATAATCTCACAAACGTTCTTAATGAATTATGAGGCTCAGAGTATACAAGCAGTATAGCTACTCAGGCAGCTCTTGTTAGGACAAAAAAATTCTGCAATGAGGATCTGAGTTGGTGTTCCACTTTTCCTCATTCGGGCTGTGTGGCCTTGGACAAGTCACCTAGCTTAAATTTTTGCCATCTGTAAAATGGGGATATTCCTCATAGAATTATTATGAGAAGTAAGAGACTTGACATGTCAACCCGTTGCCGTTAAGTCGATTCCGACTCATAGTGACCGCGTAGGACAGAGTAGAACTTTCCCACAGGGTTTCCAAGGAGCGGCTGGTGGATTCAAACTGTCGACCTTTGGTTAGCAGCTGAAGCTCTTAGCCACTGGGCCACCAGGGCTCCTGACACGTCAAAGCACTTGTCAAATACAGGCATTCCATGACTGAGTTTTAAAAACTCTCAATTCAATCTTACTCCACCAGTAAGGTTTCCATTTTATCTATACCTCAAACAACAGCAAATAGGCTAGTAACCTCAAAAACATAAAGATACTTTTAAAAATCACTGTTATTAACTGTCCTGGAGAAAAGTTAAACTGGAGAAGTGTGCTAAACTTTAATGACAGTTACAAGGGCAAAATTCTCCAACAATGTTTGGTTGATCCAAGTTCCTAAGACAATGGCCATCACAACATAAATCAGATCTTTTGCAGAACAGAATTTAAGGACTGTGGTAACCAAAAATCAGAGACCCATTCATTATGTTGCTTCCAGAATTTGCATTTCTAACAAGTTCCCAGGCAATGCTAATACCGCTGATTAGGGACCAATTCTGAGGAGCACAAGTAGAGCAGCAGTTCTCAAACTTTATTATACATAAGAATTACCTGGGTCTCTTGTTAAACTGTAGATTCTGATTCAGTATATCTGGGGGTGGAAACAAATTCTCAGCAGGGGTTCGAACCAAAACTAACTGGTTCAAAGCCCTGGTTACTTCCAACTATAAACAATCAAAAGAACACTGCCTAGCAGATGTGACTAATAGCATTCCCTTAGGGTAGGAAACTCATAGGGTCACTATCAGTCAGAATCGACTCCACGGCAACGGGTTTGCGGGTTTGGGTTTTTTGAGTTTAGGGTCGGAAAAGCAAGTT